CTCCACCAACTTATCACCAAGATTTTTTTGTCATGGGTGATAACTCTGAAAAAGATGACCAAGGCTCTGAAAAAAGTTTACGTTGTTTATTGGTCAGTTTCCAGCAAAATGTGACATATAAAACATAAGTAATGAAAAAATGAGTCTTTTCACTTTATAAACACTGTGCAACATTATCTAAAAGTTAAGTTGTTTAATGACCACATTACATAAAACTAATGATTCACATGTGCACATAATGATGCATAAAAATAAATGAACAAAATACTCTACAAAATAATTTTCAAAAGTGGGGAAAATTAACTAAAGTGGATAACCCGTTTGACCATGATGAGGTTCACTATCTATGAAGACAATAGGATGTTAGACATTAGTACACATATGTACTACACTTGAATATGTCATCAAACAATGTAGAAAATATTCTGATTGATACAAATGTATAATCAAAGTACTGAAAGTACTGGGAAGCGGTTAGCATGCATGCATTGAAATTGGCATGGGGAAGTAATATGCAGAACATGGCCAGGTGTAGATATATTTCAATTATGCCAATTACTTGCACTGCATGAAAATTCGGCTTTACAAAACAAGTAAAGATAATGTAAATTTATTATTTACAATGCCTTTAATTGGCTTTTCTGAAAAAAGTCAAAGTTGGAAAAGGTAACCTTTACATTAACTTTACATGCACTTAAATATGATGTAATGTCCCACATTGTCTTGACTTTACAAAAAAGTAAAGTTAATATTTACAACCATTAAACACCATATTTAGGATATATTAAATCTGATAATTACAGATCTTAAATTTAATTAAATACCATCTTTAATTACCACAAAAGTTAATTTCTGTTTTCCATTTTAGTGAATAAAGCCTTATGCAATTTATAAATAAGATTTTTCTTCCAAGTCGGTACTGCGGAAGTCTGGACATCATAATTAATATATACAAAGTAACAAAAAGTAATTTTAACTTTGTTTATTACAAATTTTTTTTACAAACATAAGATTAAAAAAATCAAGATTCTTGACAGTATATGTTACCCACATCCTATCCTGCAAATCACATACACATAAATAAGTATCGAAGACAGAGTACATTTCACGAAAATGTTTTTCGTACGTGACATGTTTTATAATAAAACCAACTGTACATTCTTGAATTTAAAGTTGTGAATCAACGTAAAACTACTATGTTCCTCTTTCTTGTGGACATTGGTTTCAGTGGAAATCAATAACTGTCAAAATGTATTTGTCACATCTCCCTTTTCAGAGTCCAAAACTTTTCTTCCCATGCAGGCATTCTTCTAATGCTTTTCCTAAAAGAAAAAAATATGTAAGTATATTTTCAGTGCTATGCATAAGTATGAATATTTTCAAAGGCATCTGTTATCAGAATTCACAATACCATGATTAATGAAACTAAAAACAATGCACAACCTAATTAATAAATAAAAAGTTCATACATGACCTTTAACCTTAAAAATAAAAATTGTATTAATTAAGACACTACTAAGTCAAAAACGTACTGACATTCCCATTTTTTACTGACAAACTTAGAAAATTACTGACAATGTGCTGTCGTTACTGTAAAACTTAGACAATTACTGACCTTTTTACTGCCGGTACTGATAAACTTAGAAAAGTGCTGACAATCTTAGTCGGTACTGAAAAACTTAGACAATTACTGACCCGTTTACTGTCCCTGCTGAAAAACTTAGGCAAGTGCTGACATTTACTGATAATTACTGTCCCTATTGTTCTCGCTCTCGGGGAGGCTGCAGTGGTGTGAAATCGATATTTTTTTTTATTTTAACATATATTATTATTTCATTTATTTGTTTTTTCATATAATTTTTAACTATGTCCAGATGATATCTTTGAAAAAAAAAAGCTTCTTTGATCCATTTATAGAAAATTGATTTGTAAAAAAAATATTTTCAAGAGAAGGGATAAAATTTCAAAACCTTCAAAAAGATAAGCAATTAAAAAAATAAAAATCTTCCTTTAGTAGTGAGATATGAAATTTTACACAGGTTTTTTCCTTTTTATAATAAAACAATGTTATTACATGACATGCATTTTATAATATTTTCTTAATTAACATTGACTCCCTGACTTTCTTTAACATTAATTTAAAGAATTAAACTGTTAGGTTAGATGTGTTTTATTCAATTTTAATTTAATTTATTCAAATTAGTTTGAATAATTTTAATAAACTCATAGCGCGCGGCGAGGCCGTGGGTGCCCCCTTTTGAAGAAAGGCGTTTGTTATTATAGTTATGTAAAATTTTTAATTATGTGGAGGCCGCCCATATTTGTTTCATACCCCAATCCAAGCATTTGCAAGAAGAAACCAAAATTAAAAGACATATGGGGGGTTTAAATTTAAAAAGAAAAGACTTTATTTTATTCATTGGGCGGGGGGAGGGGGACTACGGGCCTGCATTGATCATTGATCCTTTGACATTCATTGATTTAGTTACTGTCCGCATTATTCTTTTGAAATAATGTACATCTTTTAGCTGATTTTCGAATCTGGATTTTCTGGATCCCCACCTGAAAGTGTTATTTTAATTCGAATACACGAAAAACTATGACATTTTATATTATCATCTTTTGTCTATGCATACTACTGAAACAAAACTTTGATAGAAATTAATATCAATCATTATGTTGTTTTCAACTAGAGTGTCGGTAGACGTTCACATGGATCTAGTTTCTTTTTGTCTTTTCAAATTAAAATGGGGGGGGGGGCACGTGCGAACTTAATGAAGAACGCTGAACATGTACTTATTTATTTTATTAAAGTAGAACACACAATTAATACTGTCGTGTTTAAGTTTGTACTCCTTTTTATCTGTTTAGGTACAAAAAATTAATAAATTTAATTAACTTAATAAATCGACGTTTCATAGCTTTGTTCGGTATTGAAACCAGTATCATGATTTTACAGTAACACTGTGCTTTTTATTCGTCCCAAATTATTCAAGTCGTTTAGCTGGTATCCAGCCGAATTACATAATCATTCAACATACAATCGGAAACTCTGTGAAGCACCTGTGTGTAGAAGAAATCGCCTGAGGCGATCCGAGTGTGTACGGTAGCGGGTAAAGAAGACAATAGGTGTCACTGCTGTATTATACAGAAGAACAGTCGCCGGATTTCACTGGAAGTTTGTTACGCAACATTACGGCAACAGGTAGACTCTTCTTCAAGACAGTTTGAATTTGAGAAATTCAACACCAACACATACGTAATATAAATATGCAATCTACAATCCTTCAACCTCTTCTTAGATTAAATAGATATTTTTTCTAATATACCGACGTAAGATAAAATTAACTAGTAATGAAAAAGAAGATTGATGTAAAAACCAACCGGGGAAAGGCACAAATTGTTTAAAGATTTAAGCAAAAATTAATATATGAGAAGGGGTACATTACATCCAAAGTTTTGTAAAAATTATTGGTTCCTAATATTGTTTGTTAAGTCGTGTTACTTAGTGTATGTGTGAGACAGTGGAGTGATGAATTTGTTTGATTATCAATCAAATAAAAATAGTTCATTGTATATTTCCTTACCTTTTTATCAGTAATTAAGAATAATTAAAAATCAGACACAATTTATATACAGCAGTATTATGACAGTAAAATAAATATCAGGCGGATTTTAACTAGTATATTTTAAACTTTGCCTGGGTCGATATTGATTTTTTGGAGGGAGAGAAGGAGAGAGAGAGACATGAATGGTAACTCGTCACGGGAGATAGTGGGCACCTACAATTAGCGAATAATCTTAATCTTATGAAAAGGAAAGATGTTGATGAAACCTGAATCAAATAAATAATGATTATGGGTATTAATTGATCAAATGGCCAAAGAAATTTGTATCATTCAAAAAACTTAAACATTTTTATAAATCATATTCAAGTACCGGTATACTAGATTTTTTTTTTCATGTACATGTAACGTGTGTGCATGGGGGGGGGACTTATACATGTATGCTAGAGGGTTCGAAATAAATATTTGTGAGCACTGGTTCGACGGACTAATGACTTCCAATTTTCACTACTTCGTAAAATATTTTACTAGACAAGTCCGCATTCTGCCTTATTTTAACATCATAACACCCCCTACGCCTACCTACTTTAATGAGATGAAATTTAATTTCGGCACATAAAATTAAATTAATTCCAATTCACCGATAACTACAGGGGAAAAATGGAAGGTACTTAACATGTAATTAAGGTCTTCCGTTTCCAACGGAAGACCTTCTACTGATTCTGATGATTAAGATTATTCTTATTATTCTTTTTTTTTTCCTTTTCCTAGACGCCAACTTTGAGGCCTCATATTTCACTCATTTCTCAATGGATTTTGCTCAAATTTTCAGAGTTGATAGACGTTACTAAACTCTATCAGAATGTTATCTAAAATTTCAAAAAGTCACTTCCGGTTTTGAGTTATTTCCCTTTAAACGAAAATTTATAGGCTTTCGTTTCCAGACAAAGGCTCAGAGACGGCTAAAGCTGGAGCAAAAATTCTACTGATTTTAGATAATAGAAGGATTGAAGTTGTGCATAGTGGTTTTTAGCTCACCTGAGCCGAAGGCTCAAGTGAGCTTTTCTGATCACATTTTGTCCGTCGTCCGTCCGTCTGTCCGTCCGTGTTTACGAGAGTGCATTTATTGGGTATTTTTCATGCCAAGATTGTACTTATTGGGTACTTTTTGCTTATTGGGTATACCCAATAAGAAGTGTCGCTGAATATGCTTAAAACACCCTAATTGGGTATTTGCAGGTTAGTACCCAACAAAACTTGGACACGACGATTTGTCCAAAAAAGTGTCCAAAAAAGTTGCTTTCACGGACGCACCGTGTTTTGTTGTTTCAGTTTTACATTCGGAACTCTAAATTTTCGAGAGTTCCGAAAATCAACTTCCGTTGATCCTGATCATAACAACGTTTGTTTTCATGAAAAAAAATATGGCGACTATAAGAAACACTTAATGTCAACAAGATTTTCTGATTGACAAGAGAAAAGGTAAGTTAATTCGATTAATATTTATACATTGCTGGGTTCTTGTTTAAGGAAAAAAGATTTTAATTTAATTTTGAAAACAATTGTGCACAAAATTAAAATAGATATATCGGAACAATTAATCCTAAGTTGTACTTGTTTGTATTTTGAATTTTCTCTGTCTTTTTAACTCTCTTGAGGGCGAGAAGTATTTAGTAAATGATCGTATATTGTTAGATAATCTTTAATAAATCGAAAGTGTTTATTATTTAATTTTATTTTATATCATAACCAACTAAGTATGTTCTGACAATGTATATTGGAAAGGGAAATGAAAATTTTAACAATCGTGTATTCATAAATCAGCTGTTAATTATCGGTTCATGTAGACAGTATTACAATCGCAAAGTGAGCTGAGATGATGATAAATGGGATAATTGACAACAACTAAATAATTGTATGTAAGTTTATCTCATCTGATATGTAACTTAAGAGATTCATTGTATTACTGAAAAACTTTCAGTCAAAACTGTGCTTCTTTCTGTCTTTGATTTTGACTGAGTGTCTGCTTTATTTTGATTTTTTTTTTTAAATTACTGTTTTTGTCATCTGTTTTAATTAAAAACAATACTGAAATTGATATAGGGCTACTATAACTATTTCACATGATGGGTGTGAAATTAGCATCGCGCTACACCCGGGGCTTCCATTTTTGAGGATGGGGCTAGTGGTTTTCTGCACTGAGGAATCCCCTTGGGCTATTAGGAATTTTAAAATACACATATAATACATGAAAAGCACCACCGGTATTTTCACTCTTTTTTTGCTATTAAATTCTCTAATATGGAAATATTCCAGACAGCATGCTCATATTATCTATAAATCTCGACAACTGCATCCATTTTGCAGTACTACAAGACTTAATTACTTAAAAACGATCTTTTATTTCCTAATTTGAATTCCCCCTTTCCTTTGTTTAATATAGCAATATTTGCATGTACATATATGCCTCACAGATATCTCATTATTAAATTATATACATTCACTGATAAGTGTCATGCAATTATGTAGCGTTTTTTTAAAGCCATATATGGCGTAACTGATCAAAAAATATATTTCTGAAAAATACAAAATTAAGTAAAGAAATATAGTTAATACATTTAAATCAAAGCTTTTCATACAATTCGGAGCACGGAGAACAACCCCGTTTTATGTAATGGTTATAAGCCGAAAACTGTCCATTATGTCAGATATTAGACGACCCGAGGCGCGTTAGCGCCGAGGTGAGTCTAATATCTGACATAATGGTCAGTTTGAGGCTTATAACTTACTTAAAACATTTTATCACTATCGAACACTTCCAATGCTAACTTATTGGACAGTCACAGGTAAGGTCTCGTTCTGCTTGGATGACTACCTGGCACTGTTCATCAAGTAAGGCCAAAGAAAGCCAGTTTTGGTTTTCCTTCTGTCTTTATGAATAGTAGGAATCATCGAGAGGTGTTTTATATCAATAAATATGAACATTAACTTTGTTTAGTCTTATTTATCCGCATTGCGACATTTTTTTAACCATACTACGCATGCGTAAAAGTCAGTTCTACTAAATTCTTTACAATTTATTCATTTAATAACGCAAGGACCACGGATGAGGACGCACATTTTAATTTTGAAAAAAGACCTTCAGAATCGGCAGTTTTGAGGATGCCATTTATCGATTACACCAAGATGCCTCAGTTCAAGTTTTCTACCATATATCCTTATGCTTCGGAATTTGCAAGAAATAGTTTCTGTTAACAGGTAATTTTTGTAAAGCAGTAAGATTTGAAGGATTTTACTCCAACCACTGTATAAGCATTTTCTATTAAACTGAGAGATCATTTCTGATGATTTTTTTTTAATGCAACGGTTACTCTTTTGTGTGCAGGTTTCGAACTCGGAAGGATTTTACTGCAGCCATCCCTTAAAACAGCGACAGACACTTGCTAAAACAACGCGGGACTAGGTGGAAAAATGTTCATAAAATACCGATCGAAATTACTACAAATTCCGTTGGAATTTCATGAGCGACATTTTGTGCTAAATGCGGAAAAAGTGAATATTTAAAAAAGCAAAAAAGCCCAAGGTTCTGTGTAAGAAAACGCATGCTTCTCATTCATCTTTTGTGTCCCTTGGATTCTATATATGTTCCATGGATCAATCATTGTGAAATGAATCTAATATATAGCATTTAATGAACGGTGAATTTAGGAAATTTATGATCGGAGCCACGGATGAGTCTTCAATAATGAATGTGAGACATTCAATTCACTGTGGATTATTTGTGACATTTTCTTGTGAAATGTTAACATTTAACGCTACTAATTTCATTTAACGCTACTAATTTCATACATTATTGTTCATATTAAATTGTTTGATTTGTCATTGTCTTTTAAGTGCTGTTTATTTATTTGCCTCGCCCTTTGTTCTCATTTGAATGTTACTTGTACCTGTCCAATAAGTTGAATCTTATTGGACACCTACAGGTAACTTATTGGACGGGGTGCAGGACAATAACAAATTTATTGAACCAGGTTTAACAAAAGGTGACGTCACAAAAATGTTTTAACTAATAATACGATTTTATCTACTCTGTAATGTGTTATTTAAATCTTTTGTATTTTCATCCAAGTCGGAGAAAATTCCGAGAATCCAAATTAAATTTTGATATCTTTATAACGCAATTGACTTACATTTTGTAATTTACGGAAAATTTGTATCTTTATATAAAGTAATGATACAAATAATAAGTTCTCATAATTTTAGTTTAATAATTTTCATTGCACATACGCCATATATGGCTTTAAATGATTCAAGATGAAAACAAAATGATTTTTGCTTCGTTTTAATTAGACGAACTAGTGAATGACCAGAAAAGGAATATTTAAATTTTTTTTCATTTTTTTTTAAATCATTAATTTATATATGATTAAATTTTACTAGCGAAAATTAAATTAAACTTTAATTTTAAAAAGAATCATCTGTAGTTAATACCCTGGGGCCCGTTTCATCAAAGGTCGTATGCCCAGTCGTAGCGCTACGCCGGCGTAAATAGTCTAGTCAAATTATCAAATTTTCCATCAAAATGTGAACTAATTGCAACAGTTTCAAAACTTAGTTTTAATCAATCTATGATATGATCTGAATATATAAAAGAAAGTTTAGAAAAATTTATACATGGGAAAATTGAAAAATTGAGGTCATTATGGGGACGTTTTGTTTTCACTCTGATTAAGTTTTAAATGTACAGTGTAAAGTAGAAACTTCTATACTGGTTTTTAAAAAACATGTAAGTAGGGAAATAAACTTAACTGAATAAACTGAATTGGAAAAATATTAAATATTGGTTACTATATGTGTTGGTTGCCATGGAAACAGTATAAATTGAGAATATCACATACTTTTGAACAATGAACCTTTACAAACACAAATACAGTCATTAAGTTAGTTTACACAAATACTCAAGATGCATTCTTTTGCCATAACTGCTTCAAAGAAATTATTTAGAAGATTTATGTAAATAGGTGGTATCCATGGATACATTATAAATGAATTTTACATGAAAAATTTCGGTATTCAGCAATGCTAAATATAGCATGAATATACGAAATATCACCAAAAGTTAAGAAACAATAAAGATGCTTCAATTCATATGAAAGGTAATATCCGAAAATAATTAGGAGCAGATTTAGAGGGGTCGGGGGACTTCCCCCAATAAGAATTTTTATGAAAAAGTAGCAGAAAATGCCCCCCCCCCCTAAAAAAAAATTCCCTCTTGTAACTGAAAGGTTTTCCCCGTATATGAAGAAAATTGTGAGAAAATCTCATAGAACCCCATTCCTCCCCGAAATAGATTTATATGTTTTTATTCTGGATTAGGTAGGTTGTTAATTTTTTTTTTGTCAAAAAATATTCTGAAATCTGAATTTTTTTTACGCACAGCAAAGCTGTTCCCCATAGATTACATTGTAGTCGTGTTGTCCACCCTCCAGAAAATTTTCTTTCAACATGTGACGCCAGTTTTAAGTCCCTGCAATATGATTGGTTGGTAACTTGTATAAAATGCTCAGAAATAAAAAAAAAATACTCTGTTTCAGTATCATTAAATGCTTGTACACTATAATGAGTATGATGGTTCTTGCTTGATCAGAACTTGAACCCACCCCACACCCGGGTACCCTAACAGGGTAATTCTTTTCATGAGTTTAATAAACGTGCTATCTTACTCATATCAAGTGGATCAACATTGATCAATGTATTTTTTACCCTCCATAATGTGACCAAGTAATTACATATATTTTATTTCATATATTTATTTAGGCTAATACCGTACTCACTTTTGTTAACTTATTTCTTATTCGATTATTGAATTAAGTGAGTATGATTCTGACATTTTGTAAAGTCTTTTGTCGAATACTCATTTGTAATCTCATTCCTGACTGGCGTATTTTTTAAAAATCAACTCAACCCACTTGCGCAGTAGGTCTAGGTGTAAATACTCATGTTCGATTGAAATTACTTGTCCCGCCAGCCAGTTTTCAAGGTCACAACTCCTCGTGCTGTCCGTAAAGGTATTTGCTTCTGAAATACTTTTCTTTTTCATAACTTGTTAATTTTTCATTACTTATGTTATTTTTCATTCTATTCAAAGTTATAATTATGTATATTCTTTTATAGGCATATGCCATTGCCGTTTATTGCTGTTTAATAAAGATTTAAGTGTGACCTGGTCTTGTTTCTGCTCGGTTACAATATAATGAAACCACGCCATCCTGTGTAATAAGAACATAGCAACATGCAGTCAATGTTGCTTCGATGGTAATATTCCAAAAAGTATTTCAAGATTTCTTTCAGTATAATTATACCCTCAACTACATTCAATAATATAAAGATAAGACACGTTTTTGGATAAAATCTGAAATTGTTATCCCTTGAAAATGATCATTGTTGACCAAGATGTGGTCGAATCAACAGTAATTAAATTGCATTGAGTACAAAAAATTGTGAAATGTGCTCGCAAAGGTTCTGCGCAGTTAATAATTATTATATTGTTACCCTTCTTAAATCTTAATGTATTTCAAACCGTTGCTATGTAATGTTACTTGAAGAGGGTGGGGGCAGTTGAAAGCACACAGTAGATTATTTTATTCTTATTGATAAAAAAAAATCTAAGGTCAAATTAAAGCACTTACACAAATGGAATGAAGTAAAAGAGAGCAAGCCAAGTATTTGTTTCAAGGAAGAATTAAATGTTAAACTCTTGGTAGATACTGGTACTCAATTTTTACTTGTTCAAATTCATATGTAAAAGTTGTTATAATTTCCCCAAATATTTTTATCCTAACAGTAATAGAAATTATAAGACTTTGGCTTTAATTTAGGAATTCACCCGCATGGTGCAGGGGTTAGAGCATCTGCTCTAGAGTTGCGAAGTAAGGAGTCAATCCTTACGTCGCGGGTTCGAATCCCACTGTGGGATGTGGATACCGGTCAGATAAGACCGTATAAACCGAGGTCCCGTGTCGCAGTGGACGCTGGCGCGAAAAAGATCCCTCACTGCTTAATGGCCCAAAGTGTTGAGTATAGAACAAAATGTGCAGCTCTCCACTGACAAGTGGTGGCGTCTCCATATGCATGAAAAATTCTCGAGAGGGACATTAAACAATATACAATTATAGTAGAGAGATTCACGTCCATCTACTTTTCTTTGTTTAAAGTTGCTCTTATTAAGAAGTGACTTTGAAAGTGTTCATGATTGTTCACATTCTAAAGCATGCTCACGGAAACGCCGTTATCACCAGGTTCATAAAATGGAGATTCAATAAGTGCTACATCAGGCATTTTGCTGTTTACTGTACAATTATAGTAGAGAGATTCACGTCCATCTACTTTTCTTTGTTTAAAGTTGCTCTTATTAAGAAGTGACTTTGAAAGTGTTCATGATTGTTCACATTCTAAAGCATGCTCACGGAAACGCCGTTATCACCAGGTTCATAAAATGGAGCTTCAATAAGTGCTACATCAGGCATTTTACTGTTGCAAAAATGACCATATGATCTACAAGGAGAAGTTTTTAAAAATGGGTTTAAAATATTTTGTTAAAAAGTTACATTAAGAATTTTAGAAAAAAGAGCATTTAAGCATTTAATTCTGTCTAAACGACTCCATTTGAATTATTTCCACTACTATAAACATAATGCAGATTTTGTACATGCATAGATGCATGGTGCAGTCTTTATAGAGAAAAAGGTCAATATCAATTGGCTTTTTATATAAGGTTCAATACTCTTTACGAAAGCTATAAGCAGTAAATCTGGAGAGCAAAAATTGTTTGAATCACACAGTTCAAATTCAAGTTCCGGAGATGCCTGAATGGAATTAAATATTTGATTTTTTTAACTTGGAGACCTTCAAATCAAATCCTGCTCATGTGATTCCTAAATTCTGTACTCTTTATTTCAAAATGATAAATTTCAATAAATTTTCTATATATTTAATCAAAATATATTCTGTGATGATGCAATTGTAACAACTCTGATATACATTGTACATGTACTTGTATGATAAGCTTCCTTGCAGAATTCTTTAGAAAAGGCTGTTTTCACTTATTTTGTATACTACTTGTGTTCCATACATTTTTTGTTTCTTGTGTATAAATTCCAAAACTATCTATCAGGTGTTTACAGATAAAATGAAAGTAAACACATTCACATTTAGGAATTTCACGTACATGTATATTGTGAATACAAACAGCGTTCCATACTTTGTTGTTTACATGAATGGTAATTGCAACCATTATATTTGTGTAGATGATATTTGGCCGGTGAAGTCAAAACTCCACTTCTTTGAAAATCAAAATATATAATTTTTTTAATTTACTTTTGATTGCATAACAAACTACAAGTTAAAACAACAACTTTAAATGCTAATTGGCTATTGTTTACAGGTTGTCTGTCATAGAAAGCTCATATAGAAATAGTACGGTGTGCAAATGGGTAATTCTAAATTCATACTGATCCCTAATTTTAATCTTCCGATTTCCCAACTTTCCCCTGAGTGAATTTTTCTAAACTTTTTATATGTGAGTTACTAATAGCTTATCTACAAATCTGCATTAAAATATAAACTGTTGCAATTAGTTCTCATTTTTCAGTAGAATGACTAGACTATAAAGTCGGGACTAGCACGAATATTTGCATTTCATTAAAGAGTGTATCGTTACGCCTAACTAAATTTAGGCCAAAATTTTACGTCTACTCATGGGTAGGCGTAAGTTAGGGCGTAAAGTTAAAATAAGGCCTTTTTATTAATTTTAACGAGTTCTAAATAAAAAGTAAGGTTCTAAGAAGAATTTAAAATACAAACAATGCATTATTTAATTATACATATTATGAAGAGGGGGGAGGGGGGTTGTTACAACTACTTGGGGACGTAGTTGATTTGAGTAATAACATACTCAAATAATATTTTGATAAATTTCTGCTGAGAAGAAAAGATGGTCTTATTAGAGATTTCTTACGTTCTGACAATGCATTCAAACACATTTGATTGTGGTATTGTATGTCTAAGGTATTGTAAAACAATTTACATATATAACTGTATATCTACACCCCGCTTGAAAATCTCCCGAATTTGCAGATTAATTAACATTGAATGTACAGATTACTTAGTTAAAAACGAAAGTAATTATTTTCTTAGGTATCTGGGACAAGTGATGTTCCCGGCGAATCATAGACCCCAACCCAGGAAGGGGGTTGGGGTCTCATAGACAATAAGAGATTTTTGAAAGTGGTAATAAATTATTGCTTTTATAATATCGATGTAAGACGGTGATAATTACACAGTTAAGTTCAAGAATGAATTATTCCTAATTTTTTTTTTCTCAGACAAACATTGATGCAGAAGACATCTTTAATTTTCATAATTTTGTTTAAAAGAGCAAATCTTACATAGTATAAGATAATCTGAGCGCATATAAAGCATATATAAGATGAAATATACATGTTTTTGATTTCCTGCATTACTTACATTTTAATGAAAACAAAATAAAGAGTAGCTGTAACTAAATTTTAAAGACAGAGACCACACAAGCAGAGAATTTTTGTAAGAATATCTTTGTAGTCATTTTTCAAAACCTCTCTCTCTCTCTCTCTCTCTCTCTCTCTCTCTCTCTCTGCGTACTTTTAAAACGATACATCGCATTTAATCTGCGGATAGTAAAGATTTTTTTTCTATAACTGAACAATTATGTATCAATTGAATTGACAAACAAATAATAAATACAGAGAGGATTATCTTACATGTACCATAGTAGTAAACATGTAAAATTTATTTCTTGACTCAAAATGTGTTCATATGTAAATCGTTTGCATTTTGTTTCCATTATTTTTGCTTGCATATACATTTTTTATTAAAATTTTTAAATCGTATTCTGTCTCAAACTTAATTATTAGTATTTGTTAGTAGAATCAGTATTTATCGAATCATGAAATTTATTATTATTATAATTTCGGGAAGAGGGGGTATGGCTGTAATTAAATTTCCAAAAATCATGTCTCTTACATAACACTATAAACCCATGCATGTTTCAATTAGTGCAAGTATTAATTTATCTATAACTTGTGTTATTCTGTACTTTGACGTGCTACAATTTATACATGTTTGTACGCTTTGGACAATGTTTATGTTTTTGCGCCAGCGCAATGCAACGTTGTCAAGGACTTAGTTCTGTGACTAAGCGTATCTTTTACGACTAGACTTACGCCACTTGGTGAAACGCAAATTAAGCTAGACTAAATTTTGGCGTAATCCCCGGAAGTACGCCTAAGTTAAGGCTTAACTTACGACTTTTGATGAAACGGGCCCCTGACTTTTTTTCACGATGAACTTTTTTTCAATGTTACTTTTTAATTTTTGCCTCTATATTTGGGCTTGTCACTTTTTACTCGGGGATAGTAACTTTATTGCCACGAAGCTGTGGATTAGTACTTGATTTCCTTTATTGCACAGCGATGACTATGATTTAATAGCACAAAAAGCTAATGGGTTTACGTATGTGAATTTATATGATTAATGCTTACTTGTGATTTTAGGATAACTGGAGATAATGATTCCCTTTTTCCATTTATATTACATAGATATTTTTCTTGGTATTATGTTACAATAAATTTGTTTAGATTTTTTTTTTATAAAAGTAATCAATAATTACAATGGAAATTAAAACCATAATCATGTTCACTGACGATTTTCAATATGTAACAGGTTAAACAGGAACTTCAATTGTGAACATTGCAGAGAACACACCCATCAGAAGATGACCCTCAGAAATAGGACAATTGTAAGTAATCAGTAAAATGAACTGGAATACTTCATGCCAACCATAAGATTTTTAGAGACATTTTCGCTTCTTAAATTAGAAGAGAAAACTTGTACATACTACATAACTATACTAGGCAACCAACTTTTAACTGCAAGAAAGCTTTTGGTATGTGCAGTACAGCTACATAAAACCTCTTTAGTATTCATGTAAAGTTTGAGAAAGTACCTTAGTATTTTTTCTAGTATTTGCCAACATTTTTATGCACACTGTTTGCTTGTTTGTACTATCATTTTATTTTAAATTCTTCAGATGCCCTTTACCTTTGCCAGTTTAGAATCATTTGTTTTAAGGGCATCTGCGGGTTGGTTCCAGAACTTTATTAATTGTAAAGTAAATACTGGGGTACTATACGGTCATAGGTTATGTAAATACATGTATAACATTTTTGTATAGAGGTGGCATACAGGAAAAGAAACAATACTAGATATCACTTCAAAGAAATAAAACAGCTTCATCTTGTAGGTGTATTTTATTTAAGGATCAATACTTCATGTCTGATTGCTGAAAGTTATTCATAATCTGTTTGACTGTAATTTTTCATATTTTCAACTTCTATCCAGCTTAGTCAATTTTAATTAAATTTTGTGCAAAGCATACCCCAGGAAGGGGGGATGGAGTGTCAAGTGTGTCTCTGTCCCTGTCAATATAATTTCAATGCAGTTAGTAAGGTTTGGGTCAATTTTAAATCCTCTTTAGCAGAACCATTGGGCTAAAAACAATACTAATGTGAAAGCTTTATCATTAAGTGTAGAGATGTTTTTGAAGATTATGTACCCCTAATGTACTGATAGTGTTACATTAGAAGTCTAAAATTTGCAAGAAATAGGTGTATAATCTACTTCTTAACAATCAGAAACTAACATACTGTCTAATTAATATGCAACATCGTTTTGTGTGTTGAATGATGGTTCCATTTTGATAAAATTATGGCGGATGGGGGTTAGGATGAAGATGCAGTTAGACATAGAAGGAAAAAAAAGAGTTGATAGAATTTAGTTTTTCTTCCATTTTATTTATCATTACATATTTCTGAATAAGAAATATACTGCTACTTCTTGGTTGGGTTTGATCAACATAAAGGGTGATCTTGCTGTAGTCAAGAAAAACATATTTTATACGGCAAAGAAATGCCTTTATTTAATTGCAGGATGAATAAAATGGACAGAGGCAGAACTGAAGGAGATGCATGAAATGAGGAATATTTCAAAGATTGCCTGAGCATAACCACTGCTACTGGATAAACATATGGCAATATAAAAGAGCAGGGTCAATGGAGGTATCATACAGTATAGGCCATGAGAGACCCTGAAGAAGAAAGTATTGAACAGAAACAAAAATAAAACCATTTTGACATTTATTGAAATATAGGATCAAAGTCTTACATGTAAAATTTGGGCATGTAATGACTTTTCTCTAGCTCTTAGACTTATAACAGTGATGATTTGATTGAATATCTTTATCCCGATTTGTCGAAAAGATTTGGACATAGTGCATCAATTATTTTAAAGTTTTGATACAACGAATTCATTCATTGTACTTGTAACTAAGTTTTCTGGTGCGACACTGTTTTATCGGCTTCAAAACTAAGTTTGTGATTTCCAAACCAGATTAATGAGATCATTTAATATCTTTTAACATCGGTGACTATTTAATCCATTCTTTTACATCTCAGAAGTATATTATTATTACAGGGGAAATATGCATTGTACATGTATCTGTAATAAACAGGATTATAGAAATTTTCCATATAATACAACACAATCTTGGCAACTGAAGGCAAATATTTTATCAAGGGTGTGATCTATTTATCAGTATTGTTTTCAGCATCTTGCTCTACCTGTAATGACTTGCTCCAAGTTCCAATATTTAAATTTAAATTTTGCAAACATGGTTAGAAAATTCTTTAAAAGCCAAATAGTTTTGGCACAAAATGCTTATATATTTCCTATCATTTGTAAAGTGTACACTGAATGAGATGTGGAATGTTAGAATTAAAGTATTAAATATGTTTTGGACTTATGTATGCTTATATAGATAAATTTGAATTCAGCTAGGGAAGGTAAATGTCATACTTATTGGGTTTGCAATCTAATGCAAGAGTATAAATATCCAAGACAAATCTGACAATTTTAATGAAGGGTATAAGTAACCCAAGAAGAATTGGACAGGTAAACATCACCTGTTGGGTTTTATTCTAATGTTGGGATGTAATATCCAAGAAGAGTTGAACCAATGTCCAATACCTATTGGGTTTTTTTTCTTATGAAAAAAAAATTGAGTAACCCAAGAAGAATGTCCAATACCTTTTAGTGTATATACTATTGAAGGGATGAAGATATCCAAGAGGAGTTGGACAGGTGTCCATTCATGTTGGGTAGTATTCTGATGAGGGGATTCTCAAGAAACCCAAGAATTAGACAAGTGTCCATTGCCTGTTGGATGGGATGTAGATATCCAAGAGGATTTGGACGGATGTCCATTACCTGTTGGATGGTATTCTGATGAAACAATTCAAGAAACCCAAGAAGAATTGGACAAGTGTCCATTACCTGTTGGGTGGGATGTAGATATCCAAGAGGAGTTGGACAGGTGTCCATTACCTGTTGGGTGGTATTCTGATGAAACAATTCAAGAAACCCAAGAAGAATTGGACAAGTGTCCATTACTTGTTGGGTGAGATGTAGATATCCAAGAGGAGTTGGACAGGTGCCCATTACCTGTTGGGTGGTATTCTGATGAAACAATTCAAGAAACCCAAGAAGAATTGGACAAGTGTCCATTACCTGTTAGGTGGGATGTAGATATCCAAGAGGAGTTGGACAGGTGTCCATTACCTGTTAGGTTGTATTTTGATGAAACAATTCAAGAAACCCAAGAAGAATTGGACAAGTGTCCATTACCTGTTGGGTGGGATGTAGATATCCAAGAGGAGTTGGACAGATGTCCATTACCTGTTGGGTGGTATTTTGATGAAACAATTCAAGAAACCCAAGAATTAGACAAGTGTCCATTGCCTGTTGGGTGGGATGTAGATATCAAAGAGGAGTTGGACGGATGTCCATTACCTGTTGGGTGGTATTCTGATGAAACAATTCAAGAAACCCAAGAAGAATTGGACAAGTGTCCATTACCTGTTGGGTGGGATGTAGATATCCAAGAGGAGATGGACAGGTGTCCATTACCTGTTGGGTTGTCTTTTGATGAGGAGATTCAAGAAACCCAATTAGAATTGGACAATGTACACATGTTCAATTTATCTTGGGTAGTTTAATCCCTTCGTCAAAATACAACCCAACAGATATAGGACACCTGTTCAATGCCTGTTGGATACCTTCATTCTGTCCAACATGTAATGGGCATTTGCTTATATTATTATTAATAGGTCACGACTCAAAAAGGTTTCTCCTTATAAATACTTAATTTTGTTATTCAAGAAAGGTTGAACAGAGTCTGAGATGTGTTGAGTTGTGTTTTCACAATTCAGTTTTTTTGCACTTAGGTATTCATATATTTTAATATTAGTTATTTTGAAATATACAGGTGTATATCCTTATTGCTAAGAACAAATTAGTTAGGTGTTACAATAAAAGAGCTATGTAACAGAAATTGACAAAAATATAGGTTCAAAACCAAAGGTTTTCAGTCTTGTCTGAATTTACCAGCAAATATTAAATATATAATAAATTTGAAATGAATAAAAAACAATAAGAAAAACCCAATAAAATACGGACACGAGGATTAATATCCAATAAGATTTGAACAGTAACTACCCAAATAATGCTCTCTCGTGTGTACACTTTTTTTGTATCCAATAAGCAGTATCCAATAGGACTTGGACTTGATGTACCCAATATATAACCAAATGTGTGTCCGTCCGTCCGTCTGTCCGTCTGTAAACTTTTCACATTTTCGACTTCTTCTCAAGAACCACTGGGCCAATTTTGACCAAACTTGGTACAAAGCATCCTTGGGTAAAGGGGAATTTAAATTGTTAAAATGAAGGGACATACAGTGCAGGGAAATAATTTTGTTACAGCATCAATGCTGATTTTGGTGCTTCCTATGCTTGCTGATTTTGATGCTTCCTTTTCTTGCTGATTTTGATGCTAGTTATCCTTATCCTGATCCTGGTTTGATCCTTATCCTGATGCTGGTTCGAAACTGGGTCAATGCTAGATATGCTACCGGAAGTAGGATTATCCTGCCAGAAGTGGATAATTCAAAAACAGCATCGCTATTTTAAGCCATTAAAAAAAATTTTTGGGATAATTTTTATTTGTAATTTGTATTAAATGACTTTCCTTTATCTGTTTTTACTTTGGTCAATGCTAGTTCTATCCTTTGCTTGCTGATGCTGATCCAAGTAATGCTGTTTTTTAAAATGCTGATGCTGATGCTGGCTTTATCCTGATCCTACTTATGCTGATCCTGATGCTGGTTTATGTAACAAAATTAGTTCCCTGCACTGTATCCCCTCGCAAGGGGAGATAATCAAGAAAAGACAAAAATAGGGTGGGGTCATTAAAAAATCTTCTTCTCAAGAACCACTGGGCCAGAAAAGCTGAAACTTATGTGGAAGCATCCTAGGGTAGTGTAGATTCTAAATTGTTTAAATCATGACCCCCGGGGGAAGGGCGGGGCCACAATGGGGAATCAAAGTTTTATGAAGAAATATATAGGAAAAATCTTTGAAAATCTTCTTCTCAAGAACCACTGGGCCAGAAAAGCTGAAACTTATATGGAAGCATCCTGGTATAGTGTAGATTCTAAATTGTTCAAATCATGACCCCCGGTGGAAGGGCGGGGCCACAATGTGGAATCAAAGTTTTATATTGAAATATATAGTAAAATCTTTGAAAATCTTCTTCTCAAGAACCACTGGGCCAGAAAAGCTGAAACTTATGTGGAAGCATCCTGGTATAATGTAGATTCTAAATTGTTCAAATAATGACCCCCGGGGGATGGGTGGGGCCACAATGGGGAATCAAAGTTTTATATAGAAATATATAGGAAAAATCTTTGAAAACTCTTCTTCTCAAGAACCAATGGGCCAGAAAAGCTGAAACTTATGTGGAAGCATCCTGGTATAGTGTAGATTCTAAATTGTTCAAATCATGACCCCGAGAGGAAGGGCGGGGCCGCAATGGGGTATCAAAGTTTTACATAGAAATATATAGGAAAAATCTTTGAAAATCTTCTTCTCAAGAACCACTGGGCCAGAAAAGCTGAAACTTATGTGCCCATGGAAGGATCATGGGGTAGTGTAGATTTCAAAATGTCTAAATTATGATCAGTGGGGTAGGGTGGGGATGCATTATGTATAACAAGGGTGAAATCTGGTAAAGAACAGAATGGTCAAAGCTTCTCAGGTGAGCGATGTGGCCCATGGGCCTCTTGTTGTTTTTCGATTTCTCTATTCAAGATGGTGCTATATAGGGGTCAAAAATTAGAACGCCTAAAAGAGCGAAAATTTACACATATTTTGCTTTTTATCTTCTAAACTAAAAATATTTTGTTAAAACATATAGAACAAAATTTGTGCAGAATTACAAGATCTTTTGAATGATATCTCAAAAAAAGGGGCTGACCCCTAAATTAAGGGATCTAGAGGGGCCAAAAGTTTTTTCCAGATATCTCAAAAAGTATTTGAGAATTTGTAATACGTCCAAGAAGCAATGTTGTTCAAAATGTCAAGCTTAATCTAATGAAGTCGTCAAAATGCGTCCGGCGACGTCACTTCCGGTCAAACCGGAAGTAGTCAGAAAATGCATATTTTTGCTGTTCTTGACAAGTTTTTGGGTAACATATATCACAAGAAGCACAAAACTTAATTTTCTGTCCATCGACATCACTTCCGGTCAAACCGGAAGTAGCCAAAAATAGCTTATTATTTAGCAAAATTGATAAATTATAAAGTGATTGGAGACGACTAAGCTCATTGCTTTCTTTTTGCTGACGTCACTTCCAGTCAAAACAGGAAGGAAGACCTTCTCGTTGCTTTGCAACGAGCTTTGCTCTAGTATTTTTGTTATAATTGAATCATGATTAAAAAAATACTTTAAAAAAAAGATTAAGTTTAAAAACTAAATAGTGATCTACCCCCTCGGCAATGTGAATAAACGAAGCACTTGTCAAGTATTTAAGTAACTTAAAATGTCAATACTGTTTGTATCTTTAAGAGAGGGAGAGAGAGAGAGGGAGAGAAGAAAAATATTTGAGAATGGCGCTACTGCTAATATTAGTCTTACCGCTGATCTAGTAAATATAAATATTTTCCGTAAGATTACTATAATTGCTAGTACATGAATTATAATTACTAGTCTGATAATTATTTATTAGTCTCGGACTTACAGACATTGGGTACTTATGAACCCTGTGTAATCGATCAACCAACCATTCATTTAGAAATAATTAACAAAGAAAAAATTAACAAGGCATAGTACAAGTTTATATATGGAACACTGTACTGTTCAATAGGAGAACTCCCGTATGAGCAAATGAAACCGGAAATCTTAAACAGGGGTATATAATTATATGACTTGTACAGATGTCCGAGAACATTAGGAAACTGAATTACCTATCAGTAATTATTCAATTTTTAGAAGATT